GATCATCCTTTGTTTCATAACTTGCTTCAGAATCATCATAATCTGATTCGAAACCAGAAGTATAAAAAAAGCTATAAATCTTTTCCTGAATATCTTCATCAAGTTCTAGAGTCTTAAGTTATTCAAGCTTACAATTTGGAGCTCTATGCCCGAATTTTTCACATTTGTAACATTTGATCTTATCTAGATCTCGCTTGGACCTATTCTTGGTAAATCTATTAGATTTACGATGAGCCCTACACTCTTCTCTTTCTTCTCTATTCCTTCTTCTAGATCTTCTTCTCTTCCGATGAGATTTATGAGCTTCAGATTTGGAGGTTTCACGGTTAGTACTTTTGGATGTATCTGGTAAACCAAACTGAGTACAAAAATCTCAATTGAGAGATTTTTCTCTAAGTTTATCCATCTTAAGTTGTCTAGAGAGTTTTAACTTGTTGCACATATTTATGCTTTCTTGCGTACAAGCCCCAATAAGCTTTCCATAAGTAAAATTACTATAGGGAATAATTCCTTGCGGATCTCTAAGAGTATTTTTCACTCTTTCTGCAAATAAAGGAGGTAAACCATCAATAAATCTGGCTTTCCAGAATTCTAAACCATTTTCGGAAAGTTCCATTACCCGACTTAAATAAGTATCTTTATACCATCTAAACTCACCTAAATGTTTACATTTAAGACCATTTAGTAAAGATCTAATGGTTTCATATTGATTGGTAAATCTACCACTAAAATGTTCTAGTATGGTTAAGACTAAGGTATAAACAATGTCTTCTCTATTTTTGACTAAAGCAAAACCTAGGTTATCAACTCCTTCGGCTGTAGCTTTAACATTTATGACTGTTGCCTTTGCATTAAGGGTCATATAATTATACCACCAGCCTCTTAGTTGACCAGTAAACACTTCAATAATCATCTTGCAAATGGTCCTGTCAGTGTTATTAAAACTCTTGCAGATGGTAGCATACATAAGCATCCTATGAACTAAAATAGTTAACTGTCTATCAGTCAAACCATCGAGATTCCATTAATAAATCTCGCTTCTACTATAAGAGGTGTTAGTTTGATTCCAATCTCTTTCCTCTATTAAGACATCTTGAGGAGTTGGTCTGGGATAGTAGTAAGTTTGCATACTAGGTTTTCTAGCATACGTATTACCACTATTCTTTTTTGGATAACCATGAAGTTTATTAACTTCCATTTTCACTTGTGTCTTGAAATTGAAAGTGGCTTCCATTTCATCTGCAAAATCTTCAACGAGGCCTATAGGTTTCGCGCTTGCACCAAATTCTGAAAACTTTTTATCCAAAAGGCTTTCAAGATCATGAAGAGATCTAAGAATAAAATCCTGAATATCAGGAGGTCTTTGAATAGGAACATGAGGTTGTTTTGATGTAGAAGCCTGTTCGGAAACTTGTTTCACAAATTTCAGCTTTTCATCAATTTGAATAATCAAATTAGTTAGATTATCTAACTTTTTGTCAAGAGAACAAATATGTTCACCAATAACTTTAACATACAGATCCAAATAATTATTTTGAGAAATAAGACGATTAATTTCATTAATACTTATTGCGGCAACCTCATTATCAATAAATTTTTGAAACGCAGTAAAAGTAATACCTGTATTATTAGGTAAAACAAACGGAGCTTGAGGAAGGTAGATGAAATTAATAATTTTACCTGATTCATCTTTGTAAGATCTTTCAAGAACGTTAATGAATAAAGGTAAATAAGTAGTTATAAACCACGGCTCAAAGAACATAATATGATTATGTAGAGCACAAGTTTCATAAATTTTTTGAGAAATATTGTTTAAATCTTCTTCACTATAAGTGTCAAAAAACCAAGTTTTAAATCGGTTCCATTTTTCATTCGAAAATTCATTTTGAATATATTTTCTTGCCAGTGATCCTGGACTAAAATCAATTTGATGTTTACTCATCATTAAACATCATTAAGATTAAAATCCATCTCGGATGCAGAAGGAATATCCTTATCAGAAATATCATAAGATTTATCATTAGTTTGAACAATGTTTAACTGAGGATCAATTTTAATTTTTTATTTTTCTGCAGATATGACTGTTGATAAAGTATGCAAAGAAGCAGCGCGATTCTTAGCTGGACCATAAAAAGGTTCTATCGGGGAAATATGTTGAATAGCCAGTCTTCTAACAGAAGCAAAATAATGTCTATTATAAGGAACACTTTTTTCATCAAACTGCATACAAAATTTTCCATCGGAATTTTGACTAATATGAGAATATTCAGAATTGGTGACAACATCTGTCAGTTGTTCAGGGGGTATAACAGAATCTAGAATCCAAGTAGTAGGAAAATTAATTTCTTCCCATTTTATAGGTTTCTAGTAGTGACCTTGATCTGGCGAAATTAGTTTCTACCAAAATAGTTTGATCAGATGTATCATATAATTTACATCTAGGATTCAAAGTAGCAAGTAATTTAAAATAGATTCTATAAGACAAACAGATTAATTCAGAACCAGCTGCATAGTTATAACCATGTGTTTTAACATTCAAAGTTAAAGCATCTAATATATTAGAATCTGTCAAAGATAACTGCAAATTTGGTTGAGCATTACAATAGACTGGACCATAGACAACCGTAGATTCTATCGAACCCATCAAAGATTGTCGAAAATTTAAATTTCTCGCATCTTGTAGAGCGGCTAAGAAAGTCTCAGGTAACCCTTTAAGAGTTGAAAATTTAAAAGCAATTTGAACCATGCCAATATGCAAAAACTTATATTGAGATCTATACAAATCAATATCTCGCTTATTTAATAAATTAATAGTTTGTTCAGACGAGTTTAACGCCAGAGATTGCTCAATTGTTTTAATCAACTGTTTATTTGAGATTTTATCAAATCAACCATAATCATAAATAGTTTTTATATTCACTTTCGGAATAGTCTATTTGTTTAACAAATCAAGGTTTTGAGGTTATCTACCTCTTCTAATCGAGTACTTTTAATATCTCCTTGGTCCATAAAAGAGAGAATATATCTATGCCGAAATATATATATATATATATATTTATATTGTCAGTTTGGTTTGGTTTAATTTTTTTTCTTTTAATATCAAATCAAACCAAGAGTGATCGATTTTTTTTTTCAACCGCCAAATCAATCAAACCAAATCACAAATCGATTTTTTTTTGATTTAATTTAATTCATCGATTCAATTTAACTTTACGATTTGATTTATACACCCTACCTCCAATATTCCACCAGATAAGAAGAATCAATTAAAAGTCAGTGCTTTTGCACCTATCCATCATGAAAAGAACGTGAGGACTTTATATCTGTTATATTGACTTTATAATAATGCATATTAAATCATATCTTTATTCAGGTCCGATTTGTCCATTCTTTAATATCAAAACAAGAAAGTATTAATTAATTACAAAGTTAACAGGCATAACTATGATTAAAAAAAAATTCAAACAAAGAACGTTCCAAAACATAGGAAGTGACATATTTTCTTCTACGGGCGCATGGCGTCCTACGTGTATTATGGCATGTAGGATGAATGTGTCTATTTGTTCAATTTTATACAAGTTTAAATATCTACTTATGCACACCTAAAGTTAAAGATTATAGTTGTCAGCTGACGCCAAGTTAAGAGTCATGTTTATGTATTACTAATTGTGAATATGTACAAATAAATATTTAAAGTTAATAAAGTTAAATAAATAAATATGTGTTACATGATAATTCATGACGCCGCATAAAATACATGTATTTATTTAACTTTATACCTAATTAAAATTGAAGAACAAAATATTAGTTAATACAAATTTAAAGAACATATTCATATATTACTTATCATGCCTAACTATTATTTATGAACATCTAATATCTACGATAAAATTAATACATAAATTCTCCCGTAATTAACTAGCCCTTATTCTAGTGGGAGTATTTTTCCTTCCCAACGTAGTGTGAGATGACGATGGGAACAAGTTGCCAATGAAATTAACTTTGAAATTTCCGAAGTATCTTCTCCTAATAATTAACTTCATTACAATTTCCACATACTTTCTTCCTCATCAAGTCTCTTTCCTCCATAGGCATATCCCCTAATATATAAACTCACCCATCTTAGCTATTGAAATACCCATTTCGATTCTTCACTCCTTTGCTAGCTTTGTTGCTTCCCTTTGTAAGTATGTTTATGTAGATATGCACATACTTTATTCAATTTCAATTTTCCTATTTGTTCTTTTATTTTAGTCGTTTTTGTGTTAGAGTTAATGTGTGAAGGAAGACTCGCTTGCTAGTTTGATCTAGGTCAACTCTGTAAGATTATCCCCTTTGTTTTGATATTTTTTGCTTATCGAGAGACTAATCTTCCAAGTTGAATTAGATTAGATCAACTGTATATTTTCAAATTAAAATTTTGATATTTCGAAAAATGTCACATAAATTGGGAAGGACAGATTAGTTATAAGCAAGAAAATTGCTACTCTAGTTTCTTTGATGCCATGGATTTTAGTTTCTAGCCTTGTTGGATTGGGAGTTGGTTTTGGGTTTGATAAGGTAAAGTAGGTTGAGAAGTTTGACAGGAAAATTTAACTTACATATCTATTTGGTGGGATGTGCCTTTTGTAGAGGAATACAGTAGTTGTTAAAATCAATAATTGAACTGCTGACATTGTGTCATTTAATCTTTTATTGGTTAACTGGGAGTTTATTGCTAGTGTGCTAGAGTAGCAATTTCTCCCTAAAGTTTGACAAATAGTTAATCTTTAGTCCCAGGGAGAAGTTTGAAAATATTACCCTTTTTGGATTGTGAACTTGAGGTGTCCAAGTGTAATTTGTAAAGTGTAAACTTACTATTGTGTTCTTTTCATTTTAGAATATATTACTTGTTGAAATTGCTCCTTTATAATGACAAGTTCTCATGGTGTAATATCTTTTTTGAGTTTGTTTCATGGGTGAATTCTGTGGATCATCTTCCTTTTCATGCAATCTTTACAGAGTATGGGCAATTTGTTGTGCTGTGTACAAGTTGATCAATCCACCGTCGCAATTAAGGAACAGTTTGGCAAGTATCAAGATGTGCTTCAGCCAGGTTGCCACTTTCTGCCTTGGTGCTTCGGATTCCAGTTAGCTGGCCATCTCTCCCTCAGACTGCAACAATTGGATGTTCGCTGCGAGACAAAGACAAAGGTCTATTCTTTATTCCGAAACAGTAATTCCATTGATTTGACACAAGCTGTGTTGGTTCATAGCCAAATCATCAAAGTCAACCACAATTTGCACTTTGACAAACATAAGTAGGTGATGATTTTTCAGTATTTATGCATATTAATGACTTAATGCATATTGCAACTAATGTGCAGGATAATGTGTTTGTCAATGTTGTGGCATCAATTCAGTACCGTGCCCTGGCAGACAAAGCAAATGATGCTTTCTACAAACTAAGCAACACTAAGGGTCAAATTCAGGCCTATGTTTTTGATGGTATATATTTAATCTGTCTGTTTGTATATCTGATTCCTCCTTGTAATCTAGTTCTGAGAATAAATTGATTTCAATGGATAATGCTAACTTACACAAATCTATGTTTATATTTTGTCAGTCATTAGAGCAAGTGTTCCAAAACTCAATCTTGATGATGTTTTCGAGCAGAAAAATGAAATTGCCAAGGCTGTCGAGGATGAACTTGAGAAGGTAAGCCAATTCTTCACTGTTTTTTTTAATTGATACAAGCAATTTGAATTGTTCATTGGATCTCATATGAATGTCATTATGATCCTCTACAGGCTATGTCGGCTTATGGATATGAAATTGTTCAAACACTTATAGTTGATATAGAACCAGATGAGCATGTGAAGAGAGCTATGAATGAAATCAATGCTGGTATGTCTAAAATCTCATCTCTGTAGTTAAGCCTGATGCCTGCTGGTTCTCAACTGCTCTGACTAGTTAGTACTTAGCTCCCCAACTGAGCTATACCCCACACTATAAAGGAGTATCTTTTCATGTCCTAATTGTTTTCAACTCTACAGCTGCTCGGATGAGGGTGGCTGCTAATGAGAAAGCAGAGGCGGAGAAGATTTTGCAAATTAAAAGGGCTGAAGGAGAGGCAGAATCAAAGTATCTATCAGGGTTAGGTATTGCACGACAGCGTCAAGCGATTGTGGATGGTTTGAGAGACAGCGTGCTCGGATTCTCAGTGAATGTGCCGGGAACCTCAGCAAAGGATGTAATGGACATGGTCCTCTTAACCCAGTACTTCGACACCATGAAAGAAATTGGTGCTTCCAGCAAATCATCTGCCGTCTTCCTTCCTCATGGGCCTGGTGCTGTAAGAGATGTGGCAAGCCAGATTCGCGATGGACTCCTCCAAGCTTCTGTGGACCATTAAATGTTCTACTATATCAGAAATGTCAAATGATTTTCACTTGAAGCTGCCTTTTTCATTTTGTGTTTACTTTCTGCAAGTGTGGATATGTTTGGTGAGTTTGACTTTGTATTTGTGAATGCCTCTAGTACCTGTATATTGTAAAAAAAAATACTAGTATCTCCAAACCTTTGAAGAATTGTGAAGTATATACTATTAATAGATTGATGTGATATTTCTCCTCGTTAATTGTGCCTGTTAATTTGTTCCTTTTACCCATCCATCCTTGATGATTGATCTTTTGTTGTCTTATTAGCTACGTATGTTGTTCGGATTCTTCAAAAATATCAATGAGTGTGTGTCAAAGTCGCCAACAGTAATGTATTTTTGGAGAATCTGACATGGGTGTGACATCAAGCCTGAAGAATCTGCACAACTTAGCTTACTGGTGTGTAGTACAGGGTCATATTTTTGTTGTGTGCTATGCTAAAGGAAGGTGATTGATCCCTCAAACTAAAACGAAAAATTCCAAAGGGAGGTTATATCAATATTCTTGCTTGTTTTGGCAAATACCAATTGAGCATTTAAGCGAGTCAAAAAGTTGATTAACATTTGTGAAGGGACTTCTTCTTCACTCACATAGCTTTAACTTTTGTTTCGATTCGATTTTCAAGTGAAATGCATATTTCAATACAATTTTAACGTTCAAAAATACGTATTGGTGAACTATGTTTACAAAAATCTCAAAAATATACTATGTTTAATGCATTGTTTAACCATTGATGATCAACTTTTACAGACGTGAAGATTCATGGCCATCGAGGCACGGGCACCTTGAAAAAAATTATGACATGAGAAGATGCTCTCTTATAGAGGCTTCCTCTGATCTCTCATGCGCCTTGTACAATATAATATTTTCCTCGACATACGTATGTGTATATTAGTATATATATATATATCCAAATGATTCGGGGTAAAAATCGTAAAAACACTCAATAATATTTAATAATAATATATCAATTTTTATATAATTTGAATAAATAATGAAAAGCCCAAGTCAATGACAAGATGTTATTAACTTATTATTATAAAGAAAAAAGTAAAGGAACTGAAAAGAGTAGTTCTATAGATCTTGTATAATACACCTATTCACAAAATTCCTTCTTCACTACTCTTTTCCCCTTTGTCCTCTCTTAATTGTGTGTGCTCTTCTTGATCATCTGTGTCCAGTTGAAGATCGTAGATGGATCATTCATGGCGTCCTCATCTTCTTCCACCACCAATTCAAGGTAGAATCTGTCCATCTTGCTCAATCTCACACTTCCCCTTTTGCCCTCCTCCAACCCCTTTCCCTTCTAACCCTAGTTTCCGATATCCACCACCACATCCCAATCAACCCCTCCCCCGCCCTCCACTTCCTCCTCATGAGGCGGCGTACGACCCCTTCATCGATCATCGCGGTGGCCCCCCTATTCCCCCTCCTCATCGTCCCACTGTTGATGGCTACGAGCATCATCCCCGCCCCTCAGATGTGTATGGAAATATAAAACCTAGTTATGATTCACCGGGTTCTTTTAATGTTGGAGTAAAGAGAATGAGAGTTGATGATTCATCGGGTACTTTTACGAATGAAAAATTGACTAGTTTAGCTAGGTTTTCAACTGACAATGAGAGGAGATTGCAGCTGATTAGCGAATTTGGTGGGGCAGCTCACGAATTAGACAAAGGGCGTGTAAGTTTTGATGGTGAAGAATATGGAAAATTTGATGGATTTTTAGGTGGCAAAAATAGCAATAGCAGTTATGTAGATCAAGGTTATGGTAATATGGATAGAAATCAAACATTTCATGACCAAGAACGTTTTGAGAGACAGCAATATCCACCGAGGGAAGGGAATGTACAGTTTGGACAATTAGGATATGACAAGAATGGTTACAAATATGGTAGTCCTCAAGCTGATACTCACCACAATGTAGAGCACGACCAACAGAATTATGAAGGATCAAGGTATAGCTCAAAACTTGGAGATGGTTATCTTCCAAGGCATGGAGTTTCAGGGATGAATAAACTGTACAATGAACAGACAAGCCATTTTCCCGTGGATGGTCACAGTTACAACCATCATTATTCGCAGGCTTATGCAATGCCGAATCACGTGGAGTCAAAATCAAATCACTATGGTTCCCCATATGACCAGAGGGTTAATTCAGCGGACCGTAGTGGCACGAGCTTATATTCGGCACAGGGTTGTAAGACATATGCTAGCCAGCCGCCACTTCCAGCTTCTCCTCCACCTCCTCTTCCAATGGAACCCCCTTTGCGCGAGCGTCTTGTCTCATCTTCACCACCTGGAACTTCTGCCTCATTGTTTCCAGGTTCTGTTGGCTCTTCAGCTCCTTTGTCATCATATTATCCTCCACTCCCGGAAGAGAAGTCCATATCACGTTATCAGCCCAATTTACATTTGTCATCTGGCACTGCTATCGAGGTACTCCTTCAATTCTTTTTGGGCTTTGTTTATATTCTTGAGTGGCTCACGAGATGATATTTGATATAATAAATGTTGAAAATATTATCTAATTATCGCATAAATATTGGAACACTACCTTTAAAAAGTTTCAAGGTCTACCTAGTGGGCAATGAAGTGGGTCAAGAACCATGAGGTCAAACCTCAGTTGAGGTAGAAATACTAGGTGATTTTTTTCATTTGTCTAAGCCATGACGGATAGAGTTACCCTGTACCCATGTTGGTGGGAGGTAGCAAGTAACACACGGAATTAGTAGAGGTGCATCCAAATTTGCATGTACATTACGAATATAAAATATTTTCAAGATTAATTTTTTAAGTAGTGAAATTGTTCGTGCGTGCTACAAGAAAAAAATAATAAATTTATATATATATATTTCTTATTTAATAACGTCATTATGTAATATTTATATTCAAGTTAGTGTCAGATAAGACAATATTGATATTTCTCTTCATTTGCGCCATGATATGTTTTTTCATCTTGTTTCAATATACAAAATAGAAATTATGTGCATCCTTTTAAGTACAAACTATTCATATGTATATAGTAGAACAAAACATTTAAAGTGGTGAAGTTAATAGAATAAGAAGTCATATTTTGAAATAATAATATATTGTATTACGTTGAAAATGTTATATGTATTTTTATTTTCTCTCATCTTTTGTAGCAGTTCTTGACTCTCTATACAAATTCCGATTTCTTAAAAAGCTTTTAAACTTCTTCATTGTGTCTTTGTTATTACATTTGTTTCTTTATAATTTTTAAATATTAATTAAATATGGTTAAGAACTATGGTAATGAAAACACAAAAGTTAGGAATAATATTAAGAGTAGAAGTTATAAGTAAGATTAAGAGATATGAGTTATGAATAATTTGAATGTATTATATTATTAGACATTAAACACATAATAATTATGCATTGATTTTAAAAAATAAAGAAATGAATGGTGAAGATAAGAGGGGGGGGGGGGGGGGGAGTCAAAAAATGAATAAATGAATGGTGGCTGCATAGGAGCCATGTCACATTACTATTTCAAAAACCACAAGTGTTTTTTTACGAAGTAAGTAGATTCATTTAAAGGCATCAAGAAGATGCAAGATTTACAAGGATTTCTTAGTTGTTGTTAGGACATAAAAATAACCTACACTATTACATTCACAACGTAATTAAAAATGAAAAGGAAAACTACAAATACTTTTCAAACAAAAATAATAGTGACGAAAACAGATTGTTACATATCACATCATATAATTAAGGGAAAATGCTCAATTATGCCATCAAACTGTGAGAAAAGGCTCATCTATGCCATTTCTGTTTGAGAAAAGGCTCATCCATGCCATTTCTGTTTGAGAAAAGGCTCATCCATGCCATTTCTGTTTGAGAAAAGGCTCATCCATGCCATTATTTGTTAACGGAAAACATTTTTGATTTTGCAAAATCATTTTTTTTTACAGGTGATCAATTATGATTCAGCCACGTCATTAATTCAATTATTTTTTAAAAGGGCCATCAAACTTTGAGAAAAGGCTCATCTATGCTATTTTAGTTAATTTAATTCTTTCATTTTTTTGCGAGCATCATAAAAATGGAACTCCTCATCATAATTCTTTTGGTTGTAATTATATTAATTGTATTTCATAACAAAAAAGTAGGATAGTGGAGGACCAAATGAGTAGCATTGCCAAAGTAAAAAAAAAGCTCTAGCCAAAGTAGCTAAGTTACTAATACAATTCAAAGTAAAAGAAATTCTAGCAAAAGTAATTCTTAATTAAGCTTCAATTTTTTTCTAGCATTTTCCTTTTCATGTAGATCTGGCATCATATTTTGCTCCCTATGTCACCTCATCATGTGCTACCAATTGAATGAAAATAATTGACATAATTATGAACAAATAAAATGTCATACCAATCAAAAAAAAATTATATTGGTGAAAAAGAAAGAAATCTAAACTATACAATATATTTGAAAATTATATTTTTGATTATACTAATAAAAAATAATCATCATCCCTTTAAATCTAACAAATATTGTAATCAAAGTACATTATATGATTATAAAGTTAATATCAACCGCAAATTGACCTTTAGAGAGAACAATCACTTACTAACGACCCATTGTTTATTTTTACAAAGATATTCTTGATCACACTTGTTTGGAGGATGATAAGACGTTCAACATTAAAATATTAAGAAAGTACATCCAAGTACATGAAAATGAAATATTTTTTACCTTCATATACTTCTTTTTTGTTATATGTTAGTTAATTCACAAACCAATATGATGAAGAAGAGAGAGGATAATCTTGAATGTGAATCTTTATGAAACTGAATATGAATTATATAGGTAAAATAGAGGAACACATTCACAAACCAATATGATGAAGAAGAAAAAAATAATCTTGAATGTGAATTTTCATGAAAATAGACATGAATTTGTATAGGTAAAATAGAGGAACACATTCACAAACCAATATGAAACCAATATGATGAAAAAGAGAAAGAATAACCTTGAATCTGAATCTTCATGAAACTAAATATGAATTTATATAAGCAAAATAGAGGAATACCATAAGATATCATAAACTTACAAACTAAAGTTTGGAGGTTATGGACATGAAAATTATGGGAGTTATGAATATCATTAAAAGTAAAATTTAAAGAGGTTCAAGCCATGAGTAATTACTCCTTGTAAATAAATTAAATAATAAAGATAAAAATACTTAAAAGAAAAATAAATTTATTAAGATTAAAAATTAGAGAGATGTGAGTTATGGATAGTTACTCCTTGTAAAATGGCATGTGAAGAGTCTTTGTTGTAAATGTTTGTCCATTAATAAAATATTTGTTATTTGCAATAAATTAAGTAATTCACTTTACAATAAAATAATTATAATTTAAATGAGAAAAAAGCCCCATCCCCCCAAAAGGGGGGGAGGGGTGATAAATGCAAATTGAGGTCATTGCCTTGTCTATGTTTCTTCTTTATATTATATATAGAATATAGAATTTGTGATATTACAAGTTTAAATGAGAAAAAATCCCCATCCCCTAAAACGGGGGGCGGGGGGATAAATGCAAATGGAGGTCATAGCCTTGTCTATGTTTCTCCTTTATATTATATATAGAATATAGAATTTGTGAACTACAAGTTTTAAACACCATAAAAAAATTCCAATATATTTTTTTTAGTAGTTACTTGCAAGTACTTCTTAAGAATTTTTTATGGAGAATTGACATTCTTTTGTAATTTTTTTTTTTAATGATTTTACCGAATGCTGTTTTGCTAGTTTGCCATTTCCTTTGATAAGGAATTTACCATTTATACCTATGTTGCGAGTATTTATTACTCCCTCCGTCCCAATTTATGTGGCTAATTGTTGTGGTGTCATACTATAGTAATTTGACCTTTTCTGCATTTTTTTTTTTGAAACTGGTAACATTGTATTCCTCAGCATTAAGGGCTATGCTGGCCACCTCCAAAAGCGTTAGTTACATAGAAAAACCAACAAAAAAACAGGACTACTTACAATGCTCCTATGAAATCCACTAGTTGAATTTCTTCTTCTATGTTCATTTCTTTACACCAAAAACCTAAAGTGGTAATTACTTTTCACTTAATCTTCTCTATAGTGCATTCTTTCTCGACAAAAATTCTCTGATTTCTCTCCTTCCAAATGATCCACCAGATACAAGTAGGTACTGTTCTCCACCACCTCCTCTGGCTCTTACTACCTCCCTTTCTGACCAACAACTTAGTAGGTCTGCTGTATGTTCTGGCATAATCCAATTTAGGCTCTTTATATTGGTGAATAGAGCCCATGCTTGTGTTGTTACTTTGCAGTGGAGAAACAAATGATTGTTGGTTTCTAGAGCCTCTTTACAAAGATAACATCTTGAGGCAATAATTTTTCCCCTCTTTTGAAGTTTATCATGTGTCAGGCAAGCTCTCCTAGTTTTTAAAAAAAAATTAGTAATGTTGTATTCCTCAGCATTACGGGTATGCTGGTGACCTCCAAAAATTCGTACATAGAGGGGCTAGGAAGGCTAATTACAAAGCTCTCCTAGTTACCAACCAAGTGAATTACTTCACCTTAGTAGGGGCTACACTCTTCCATATAGCACTCCATGGCCCTGATTTCTTCCCCGCAATTGTGGCTAGATCCTTTTTATACATTCTGTTCACATTGAATTGACCATCAGTATGATGCCTCCATAGCAATTTATCTGTTTCCAGATTTGTGCCAGGAAAATCTCCAATCAAAGCTAGCATATCCGATACCCACTCTATTTCCCAATCATTAAGAAATCTCCTAAAGAGCAAATTCCATCCTTGTGGGGACCAAACCTCTTGTATTTTGCTATCAGGATTCAGGCAAATGGAAAACAACCCAGGGAGTTGATATGGGATTTCTATGTACTTTTTAGTTATGTTCTTGTCACTCCCCGAGCCTACACCCTGGGGGGACTGGTACTCGAAGACCATTGTTGGCCCCAAGCGAACCCTTGACCTGACTTACTTAACTCAGCGGAAGACAATATTAATATCTATAATGATCAAAGAACTTAACTGAACTGAATAATAAAATAACTGAGAATGTTTTAAAGATTTAACATTCGACTTGGTCAGAAGTGGCAACCCAAGTCTTAACAATAAGAAATGAAAATGAAAAGACTCACAGGACTAACATTTGACTGTCTATGAACCTCTAAAACAACTGAGATGGATGTTGGGACAAACCCCACAACATCCTAATGAACTAACTAGAAAACAATGAAAATAGATCCTCCGGAATGCAAAGAGGCTCACCGACTGACTCTGAACTGCTCACTGGATCAATGGTGCGCTGGGATGCCCATCTTAGTTACCAGTGTCTGCATCATAAAATGATGCAGGGCAACTGGCATCAGTACATTGAATGTACGAGTATGCGAGTTGGAATGCTAAAACAACAAAGGCTGGAAAGAGAATCTGAAAGAAACACTTACCTTGGCTCTTCTCAACTCATGAATACTTAACTGAAATCATTTCAATATAAAGCAGTTTAAAACAAGTGCAATATAAAGAAAAACTGTTTAAAAACATGATGTCGACTCTATGTATATACAAGGATACAACATAACTCTGAAATGTATGTAAAAATACAATAACTTCTGTGGGAGTTTCTCTAACCGACAACTATCACATAAGAGCTATAGCGATGATACAATGATCTACCTCACGCTGCCAGCGCATCCTATACCCGGCCAGAGGTATAGGACCTGAACTACTAAGTGGATCCACTAGTCTATTGTGAAAAAGGTTCATATAAAAAGTATGACCCTTTTCTACCCATGGTGGCTACATGGTTTTATGGAGACGTGAGTTATCTGAACTCATGCTCTCCCCCAATTCGGTGCTCAATACTACTCCCAAATATACTAGCTATTATGTTTAAAAACATAGTTCTTCTGTGATTTGAGATTAGTGTTCAAAAACTTAGCTCAAAGGCTATCTTGGAAATCTCAGGGAACTGCTTGTTTCATTTAGAAAGCTGTTACACTTTTCTGAAAACTAGCCCGTAGGCCCTTTGAAAATCTCAGTTTCCCCTCTTATTTAAATGTGTAAAACATTTTAAATCTCTTTGGGAAATACTTAGTCCCCATATGTTTCTTTGAAGAAAATAACTTCAACATTACTCTTTACTGAACTCAAAACTTAAGTCTTAAATTAAAGTTAAAACGTTTGTAAAAGACTTGTGAAAGCTTGAAATGAACTTCTCTTACTTGACTCTTGACTTTGATCTTAATTGCTCTTGACTTGACTCTTAACTGATCCTTGAATTGTATTATGGATTCAAGGATTAAGATTTGTGATTGGAAAGATCTCATGTTGTTTAGGAATGATTTTAGATAGCTAAACATGAGAAAAGACCGAAATTCAAGATTTGAAGGTGGGTCCACGACGCGGAGGCATAATTAAATTTTGGTTTCGAAAACGTCTTTTGAGGCAGAACACCTCGTGTCAGCTCCGCGATGCGAAGCTGAGATGTTCAAATCTGGGCACTAGGCGTGCGATGCGCGGCCACCCCTTAATTTCGTCCGACGAAATTTCTTCTTAGTTTTCCAACCCCAAATCACCCAAACTCAGTTCTTTTTCTAGATTACTTTTAGATACAGTTACCCAGCAAATGTACCTAAGAACCTAACTCGAAACGACTCTATAATGCGACGTAACGAACTCAGAAACTTCCCAACTCAGTCAAATTCAAGAACAATATATGAATTCAAGAATAGGTATCAAGATCATCAATATTCATATGCTTTTAGGACAAATCCAAACTGAAATAAATATGTTTGGCACGTGGGAGAATGATCCCAACGTTATGAGAGCCTCACATACCTGATAGAAGCAAATCCTTGGCGAAACACCAACTTCCTTGATCGATCTTGATGAATTTCCCCTCTTCTCCTTCTTCTTTTCTCTTCTCCTTTCTCCTTAGCCCTAGCGTGAAAATCCCAAATTCTAAAACTGACTAAAATCTAATTTGACCCATATTAAACTCCTAAAAACGGATTAAAATAATAAGGCAAATGAAAAGACTAAAATACCCCTTAAAATTCCGGATTGGACATTTCCTTAATCCAACAACCCAACTTCCAAAGGGAATAACTCACTCATACGAACTCGGAATCGCGCAAACTTGGTGGCGTTGGAAAGATCGTCCCAAGAACTTTCCAACCATATCTGGAACTACACTTAACTCATCCTGAGCTAGGAGTTATGGCCGATTGAAGTTGACCAAAAACTCAATTTTAACTTGCAATTTTCCAGATTTCCTTGTACTTTCCAAAAATAACTATTTCCAGATTTTAAAATTCCTTCTAGTTCTTTCTAGTTGCGAGATGTTACAGTTCTAATTCTTGCAAGATGGCTCACAATGAGGTTTACACTTCACATGATGTTTATTTGGATACACTCCCAATTGACGACTATAAATCTTACATCCTATTCCATTCATAATGAATAACTCCCAACACTTCTTTAAGCTAATATTGTGTGATATTGGGGGTATATCAAGCATTGGTATCCTTTTAAAAAAAAATAGATATCTGTCTGTTTTCGCCTTAAAGATGTACATATGTGTGTCTTTAGCTATCTTCCTGTCTTGACAAATTTGATATCCTTTTTATGTTGAAGATATGGTAAAACGCCTAATATAACTGATTTTTTTGGTTTCACCAGCAAGTCCATATGCATCGTTATACTTCATCATCTATACGCTCCAGAGGAAGTGAACATCCTCTGCTAGAGGTACCTTCAGATAAGTCAAAAGTCATTGATGCTATACACATTCTAAAGCATCCATACCGAGCTACCCGACCTGATCATCTTGTTGTTATTCTTCGGGGACTTCCAGGTGCTGCTTTCTTTCCAAGAGCTATCTCATTAAGTTATGTAGTTGTCCGTTTGCTTTTAGTTGATATCTACTTTGAATGAAAATTATTTACCCTTATATTACTTGATAAGGAGATTAAACACCTTCCCCACTTAAATAGACTCCTTCAGTCCCCCCTAACCCCCCAGGGAAAAAAAGGAAAGAAAAAGTGAGCCCTTCTTGTTATTAAGAAAAGAAAGGTGAATTGTTTATTGTGTTAAGTCTGCTGGAGACATATTTAAGGTAATAGTTTTCTGATAAGGTATTTAAAATAATAGTTGAAAGGTATGGCATAACGATTGGAGAGTTCTATGAATTAGTAGCATTCGTATCAGTTCATCATTTTTGAGATGGAGACATTTATGACTTGGGGATTTAGTGGCCCATGTAAAAAGATTAGATGGATGGTTTACTGCATATCATTTAGAAAACAAATTGGGGCACTTTGTTTGTTAACTTCTTGCTTGCGCACCTCCACATATATTGTTATTCTTCAGATAGATAGGTTGGTTTGATTTGGTATGATGTGGGTATGTTTAGTTGGCATTTGGAGAACATTTGGATGAAATTGAAAAAAATAGGGGAGAATTTGAAGTATTTGGAATAAAATTTCATTTGGAAAAGAAGGTTTGAAGTTTTGGGCGTGAAACCATTATTTCACTTGAAACTAGTTTTCTTCCTACTAAAATAATGTTGTATTGTGAAACAAATATTGATTTGCAAATATTATATCAAGATGAAGTTTAGATAATAAAATAGAATTTATAGCCAAAAGGGGAGACATGTCACTGGATTATGACCTAGAATTCTACTTTCAGGTATTTTGAATTTTTCCAGGCCAATTGAAATTAAAGAGTACCTTTCTGCACAAGTACTAGCTAATTATTAATGATCTTGCTTTTACATCGCGCACACTCACACACTCTCTCTCTCTCTCCAGCTCTCTTTCTCTCTTCGTGGCTTTCTCTTTCTCCCTCTGTTTGCCCCCTCCTTTTGTGGGTTTTGTGGTAGTACGCATTCTTGCTCTGGCATAAAATGAAGTGTGGTCCTGGATCAAAGTATCCCTTTTTCTGGATATGGGGAGCCATTGAGAAAATTCTTTCACTTTTTTCCTCCTTGCGTTGCATTTGCTGGCCTACTTTATGATTCCATCATATACTGACTGAAAGTAGTGTAGGGGCTGGAAAAGTATGACCAGTTTGCTTTCCTCCTAAATATAATTATTTAACGGCAGGCAGTCATGTTATATGTCCTTTTGTGACTTCATTTCCTGCATTCTTATACGAATAATGTTTTAAAAAGGAAAGCTGTGCCCAAAGAATTTGGATCTCTGTAAGTTTTCTTCTTTTATTTTCATCTTTTTATTATCCTTTTCAGGGAGTGGAAAGAGCTATTTGGCAAAGATGTTACGTGACCTTGAGGTTGAAAACGGTGGCACTGCCCCTCGTATTCACTCAATGGATGAGTACTTCATGACTGAAGTTGACAAGGTCTTATCTTGCTATCTTACTTGAAGTTCTTTTGATCGTCAACATCTCTCGCTTTTCTTCCTTTCATATGTTCAAGCCTCCTATTAATTCCAGTTACTAGCTATTTCAAGTCCTCTCCCAAAAATATAAACAAGTTCTTTCAGACATGCAGGTTGAGGAGAGTGAGGTTTTGAAATCTTCTGGTTCTATCAGGGGCAAAAAGATGGTGACAAAGAAGGTTATGGAATACTGCTATGAACCTGAGATGGAGGAGGTAAAGCCATCTCTGCCTGAACTTAAGAGATAACTGGACTTCCACAGATTTAAATTTGGAGCCTTTAGATTTAAGATATTTATCTGCCTTTCTATTAGGTAGCTTTAATCTATTTGTCTGCAGTGTAGTAAAATCCATGATTTAGGAAGTGTATATCAGAGATAACAAAAGATACCGGGGATACAATTGTAAAAGGTTTGGTCAAACTTATGTCTTTTAACTGATTTTGGCTTATAATCACTTTTTGTGTTTACCAAATGGAATAGATTAGCCAAAAAGTATCTATAAGATAGTTTGGTCAACTTATATGCTTAGCCAAACACCCTCATAGTGGTAGCTATTTGTACAGAAGTTCAATATTTTACTAAAGGAATGATATTTTATTGGTTGCACAAGTTCCTCTTTGCCTAGTATTTGTAAGGCTAAGATGACTTGAGTATTGTAAATTTACAACGTAGAATTATGCAGTATTGAGTTCTCGTTGTCCAATTTTTTTATAGTTATTTAAGGTTACAATTTCTTTGTTTGCTACTGTTAGATTCTTCAAGTTCTTAGTAATGCAATGCTAGGGAAAGTGTAATTAGTCCTAGTTAAGTTTCCTCTTTCCTTTGTTTGGGGGTGGGGTGGGGTGCATTAGGATTGGATTAGAGTGTTATAGACATAAAGCAAACAAGCAACTATGGTTTCTCATTTTCTCCTTTTTTTTTCACTGTGAAAAAGGAGAAGGAGGGGGGGGGGGGTAGTGTAGTAGAAAAGGTTTTTCCGCCTCTAACCATGAGGGTGAGTGTTCGAGTCACCAACAAATTGAGAAAAGCCCCAGTTTTGCTACTGGGATGGGGGTTTGAGGGGGACGAGTTCACCTAATCAACTAAAAAACATTTTCATATTTGCATGCTAAGGAAGCTATTTCTTGAAACTACGAGGTAACACTCTATGTAAAGTGGTTCAATTCTTTTTGAGAAGGATATTTCCAGTGGTTTATTATATATCTTTTGGTAACAGAAACATAGCATTATAAACAGTTTGCGTGCCCATATGTGCATTTCTTTTGTGGGTTTAATGTTGATGTAATTAGTATATTGTAATTGCATCTTTCAAGTAGCTTGTCTCTTCTATACTGTATGCAATTTCTGGAATCAAATATGAAATAGAGGTCATCTTATGGTATTTCCAGTTGATTTTTATGAGTTGGGATTTTACTAGTTTGTTTTCCCCAATTTTCTGCAATTTATTGCCTCGTATATATTATTATCTCTATTGTTATTTTCTCTCCTCTTCAGGCTTATCGTTCAAGCATGTTGAAGGCTTTCAAAAAGACCCTGGATGAGGGGGCTTTCTCCTTCGTAATTGGTATGGTATTTTTGGGGCAAGATAGCTCTTACTCTGTAATTCCACATTTTTTCTTTTTGTCCATAATCTAAGACTGACATGTGAAATGGTTTGCATCACTGTTTCCTCTTTCAGCTGGATGTCTATTCTTTTGTTTATTGTGTCTGTGAGATTCTCCGAAATTTGCTAGTGAAATGATTACATGCTGCTGTCAGTTGTTTTGTTGTGTCATCTGTTGCTCTCTATTGGAGCATATTTCTATAGAAAACCTCCATTTTGTTGGATTTAGGGAACTTGAAGGTAGGTAGCATCCCATAGGTTTCTTGATAATAGCTAGCACATTGGTTCTTCAAGTCATGCTAGATTGTCTAGTTAAAAAGTTCAACCATAGTTTAATTATAGATTAAGTGGTGATGCAGTGCCTTGCACTGCCTTCAGTTTACTAACTACAGATGCAGTTTTGTTCGGCAATTGACCCATTTGTTGCTGGTATTTGTGCCTCATTTTAGTGGATGACCGCAATCTGCGGGTAGCTGATTTTGCTCAGTTTTGGGCATTTGCGAAGGTATACTCTCAGTTCTCTCTATTATGCAACCAGTTCAAGTGCTATACTCTAGTTCAATTATTTTCTAGGATACTTTGAATGTCTAAAAGTCTTAAACCTTTTGTGTTTGTATATATATAGTTTGTTACTGCTTTATAGGTTGTCTGTTCTTTCAAGTTTTAAGTATTATAACCTTAGTTGATCAAGAGAACTTGTTGCCGCAACAGCTTTTCCGTTGGTTGTCCAATGTGACTGGGTGGATACTGCAAGTTCGAAAACTCACTCCATCAAGTCCTAATATATTGTTATAGTCGTATTGTAGTATCAGTTTTTGTTAGTTGCAATCTATTTAATTCATGGTGTATTTTACCTCAGTTTCTATTTTTTGTTGGTCCACTTAAAAGTACCATTTCTTGATGACTTGTGGATGAATTGTTTATGAGTTTTTACTCTTTCTTGACTGCTGGTAATGATTTGATATAGTCATTGCTTTAGAGTAGATTTACTAAAGAAGAAAAAAACAATCAACCTGTCTTTCATTTTTGGTTATGTTTGGCTGAACATTGTCATCAATATTTTGGTGGTGATTTTGTTTGCAATTCCCCAAAGACATTATTGCCGTGTCTTGTTTTGCTCACAGTAAGCTTCAAGTCTAGTATAACACAACAATGTGATAGGTATTGCCAAGGATATCTTTATCACATCTCCATCTGATTGAATAGGCTCCTGGATTTTGGAAATTATGAGAATACTAGTTCAAAGTTTGTTCAAGATTAGTTATGATGTTACCAAAAACTGTGTATGGAGTAGTTTGGTTTGTGGTAGGATATTGAAATCTTCACTAGCTGATGTTTTTAATCTGGAGATAATTGCTATTCGACAAGCATAAAGCTTAATGCATCGACTTGGACAGCTTCTAAAACTTAGCTTTTTATTACTAATTGCTAGGATAAAACTGGCATATATCTCAAAGTGCAGGATCATCAAGCTTGAAGATTCAAACTAATTTAACCAAAGAACAATGCAGAATTATAAATTTCAGTAAGCAAGCTCAATTGTCATTTAGGACGGGGCTGAAACCCCCAGCTAGAGCAACAGAAAACTTGGATAAATGTTGGATTTAACATTTCTTCCAATCTACAACTTCTTAATAGAAACTATGGATCTGTAGATGGCAAATAGTTTAAGTATTTGAAAACTTTTCTAGAGCTACCTGCTTCAGCACTTGCTTTCCCATCGATGTATTATGCTGGTTATCTAAATACAGCTAAACAACTGTGTATTTAGAGTGCACAAATTTGTGGGTGACAACTGCATATATGTATGTATGTATCTCACAGATAAATCCTATTAAAGAACTTTTAAGATCATGAAGGTTTGTAGAAGGTTCTCTGATCGACAGATCATATAAGTGGAAGTTTGTCTATTTTACCATACCAAATTTTCCTTCTTTTGGGTTTAGGTTTGGTTGTTTGGGGTGAGGTGTTAAAAGAACTTGATTTGGTGAAAGTGGTTGAATATGTGAAGATTCCAAGCAACTAATTCAACCATACAATTGAAGTGGGTTTATGTTTTAGATTTTGTTGCCAAGGAGACTCGAGCCACTAAGTTTGTCCTCTAGTAATTTGTTTTTATAGTATAGTCAGTTTCTGTTTTGGCTGGTTATTACATAGAATTAGTTTGATAATTCTTAGCCAAGGTGGCTTGAAGTTATGAAGTGGGTCGAGGTAGATACCTGGGCTGGTGGGAGGTAGCAGTACTCGGTGGAATTGTCGAGGTGCATGCAAGGTTGGACTGGACACCACTGTTATCAAAAGGAAAAATAAATAATTACACTTTGTCAGAGTTCTTGCTTTTTGGATGGGAATGGTGCTCCTTGCTTTCTGAATTTAATTGCTTGTTGCATTTCCTTCAGTGACGCATGCTGCTTCTGTTACTTTTGCAATATTATGGCTTCTCGAACTGCTGATTGTTTTTTTTGGATGACGGATTATCTTCTTCAATTGTTACCATCACAGCTATTTAAGAAAAGCTGATTGCTGCCTCTCTGTTTGCCATGATTATTTTCTTTGCTTATTTCTGTTGCTTATTATTTCAGAGATCTGGCTATGAAGTGTACTTGCTAGAAGCAGCTTATAAGGACCCAGCGGTAAGTTAGCTCATGTATTTCTTTGTTAGCCACGATCTAACATCAAGCATTGTATGTATATATGTCTGTACATTATCTGATCCACTGAAGATATTTTTTAAACTCATGTCCTTGTGGATTTCAGGGATGTGCAGCAAGGAATGTGCATGGTTTCATGCGGGATGATGTACAAAAGATGGCTGACCAATGGGAGGAAGCTCCATCCATGTACTTGAAACTTGATGTTAAGGTTCTTTCTCCTTAAAACTATCTTGTTGTATAGTCAGTCAGGTTCTACACTCCTGGACTCTCAAGTATACTTGAGTAATTTAACTTATTCCAGCAAAGTAGTTGTTAGTGTAGCCTGTTAGACCTTATGTGAGAAGTTAATTTTTATCAGCTTGTATGAGTTGGATGCTAATATGTCATCTGTCCTTACGGTTTCATTTTATTTCAACAATGTGACAGTCATTACTTCATGGAGATGCTCTGGAGGAAGGTGGAATCCAAGAGGTAAATTTTGTTATGCATATTTTCTTAAAACCTTACCCTAGGTTCAGCATACTCATGACCATGTGAGCACATAGACACTTGCATTTGTTCAGAATGTAAGGAGTTGTTTGGTATGGGGGATGAGATAGACAAAGTTATCCCATGGATTAGTTATGCCACCATATATATGAGATAACTTGTCCGTCATTGTAATGCAAATGGTGGGATAAATGATCCCGGGACTTATACCCCTAACCTTATGCATGATAAATTGAGCTTGCTTTTTATCTTGAGATTATTATTCCTTATCCTCATACCAAACGTCCCCTAAATATGTCGGCCCACCTAAAGTTGCGGATAGCAGGTATGAAATGAAGAGAGATCCCTGTGCAAGACGTCCACTCAATTAGAAGAGGTAGATTAATGGCATGGGCAGTGTTATCAAAAGCAAAAAGCGCAAAAAACTCCGAGGTCTGTTGGGGCTTTATGTGCAAATAAAGTGTGAGCTTTAATGAAAAAAGGCGCAAAAGGGAGAAAAAAATACAAATATATATGTTTAGTCCAAGACTCCTAATTGTAAGCGTGAATGACAAATATATGAACAACGAAATTGAATTTTTTAAATGATAAAGTGAAATATCAATTGTGTTGTGCCACCTCTTCAGAAGAGGCACATTGGCAAGGAAAAATATGCCTTAGCGCCTTGATGACGACACTAAAGTGCACATCAAGTGAGGCAAAGCGCTTGACCATTTTGACCCCCGCTCCAAGGCTTAAGCGCATCTTTGACTAACCTATGATTGTGTCGGAAATGCTACTTGGAAAGTCCTATATTTTCTTTTGTATATTTTGGCTTAAGGATTCTCATAGCTTGTAAAGTTGTACAAAAAATAAAATGAAAATCCCCTGTCTTGTAAATTTGTATCATATAGCTTTTGAAAATATTTTCCTCTGTTGTCTCATAGCTTATTCATTTTATAAAGTGGCTTTCATTTACAAAACAAAAATTAATATATGAAATGACAAAGTGTCTTGGATGGTTTTAGTTCCTACTTATAATGCACAATGAACAGTCAGCAATGTTCCAAATGCAAGGTAGGAAAGAAAAGAGATGTTGGCTGATAATGTTCTGAACACTTTACTTCTGAAAATTAACAAATGAACAATAAATAAGTTACAATAGTAATAATATACTAGGAATATCATGTGATGTCCACCAACTTGTATTGTCATCATTCACATCTTTTTCAGGTTGTAGTACCAAAACATGTACAGCTTGTGTTACTCAGAGGTAGAAACTTCTAAATCATGAGTCTTATTTTGGATCTGCAGGTGGACATGGATATGGAAGATGATGACTCATTGGGAGTGCCTTCCACTTTAGATGAAGAGAATATTGAGAAGTTTACAGTACCTCCCCAAGAGGATATTCCATCTTATGGTATGCCATGGATCTGTCCAAAGGGTCATTTGTATTTCTTATGCTGCTGCTGTATTGTCTCTCTTGTTGTATGTCCTAAATTCTAGTTAGTAAACATTGTTGTGATTAGCAAAGCTGGAATCAGTTCTGGTGATCCTCCCTAATCAATTTGTGATGATTCTGGTGTAGATGGCATAGTTTCTTACCTTTGCAACAGATATCACCATATCGGTCCCTTTCTTTAAAATTTACATTCGTTGTAGTCACAGTAGGTCATATGTTTGTTTTGAGGCTTAAAACAAGGCTGAGCTGATTTTATCGTGTAATAACATAAAGGACCCGGCTTTTGTGGTGGTTGAACTTGGCTGATTTCGAAGTTCAACCGCCAACCCTTAGCTTTGACCACTGGGTGGAACCTATTCTCTTTTTCAATGCTGATTACTTCTCAACATCAGTTGGATTCTGTCTAACATAATCATTGGATCTCTTCAACTTTATGCATGCCATTCTGAAGTAGATACGAACAAATTTGTCCTTTCTTCATTGTCTTGGCTGCAAAAAGCATCTGATCATACTTATTATGTAATTTGATATCAGGCGATGTAAAGGATGATCAGGATTCAGACCATGAAGAGGATCACCGAATAACTGAAGTAAAAGAATTGGCAAAGAGTAAATGGTCATCTGATTTGGATGAAGATGATACTCGAAGAAATAAAGATGCCACTAAAAACATAAATGCTCTCTCTGGGTTGATACAATCTTACAGCAAGGAAGGAAAGTTCGTACATTGGGGTGACCAGGTAACCTTTACATGTTACGGACGATAGCTATTCCTAGTTCTATATTGATGTGTTTTTTCTTACTGAGGGATGATTGGTGAAACTTATGTCGGCTCTCTGTTCTCTGCCTGCTTTCCCCTTTCTGCTTTTTCTGATGTGCTCACCAGCAAAGGCTGACCATTTATCATTCGTCATATCTTTACTTTTTCTCATCCTGTCATCTCCTGACGCTTTACATTAGCAAACATCTGGTAGATGAATTGTTGGGAAAACTCTACCCTTCCACCCTCAATGTTTTTCTTTGAAAAGTGAATTTTTTAAAGAATGTAAACCAGGAGTCCTACACATCTCTTAGAATGGAAATAGGAGTCCGGATTTTATTTTTAAAGAAAGAATGCGTTTCTCGACATTATAGGTTGTTTCGGTGCCTATATTCTCTTATATCAGAAATGTAAATTGATTTAAAAAACTTGGAAATGTACGGTTTTTTTCATTGGATTGGACATGTGGTATATTAACAGTTCTTCCCTTGACAATATTATTTTGAGTTCGGGATGCAGGATAGTTCCTAGACAGCTGATATTGATAACTTTGGGATGGCATAAAAACCTTGCAGCAAAGGCTTGTTTATTTTCCAAGGGGAGGGGAGACTTGTAGGAATTGTATTAAGTGGCTCCATATCATTGCAAGGCTAAGTTGTTTTATGGGGCAGATTTACTTTTTATCAAATTACATTGGCACTAGGGGAGGGAAGAATCATTGGGAGTGAATTAAGTGTTCCATCTCATTAAAAGCTTAAGTTGTTTGAAGGGGAAGTTCTTATTAGGCGTTGGCCGTGAATCATATTGGCATGCTTATTTATCCGTTATTAAGGTTGGTTATTCAATGATTTTTTCAGATGTGGGATTGTAACTTTTTCCAGTGTACTAGCCTTATCTATTTCCGGCTACCAAAATCTATGTTGTATACGTTTTGGAGAGGAAGTTGAGATTACATGTATCTACTAATCTGATTATTGTTTTTTCGCCATCTGTTCTGCCGTTCTTCTAAAAGAGGCACTAGTGCAATTTCTTTGCGCCAAGTGCGTGTTTGCTTGGGAGGAAATTTTCCCATGTTCAGTTTGTCAAAAATTTTGGAAAACTTTTTCTCCGGGAAAACAAATGCCTTTAGAATGAGGAAAATGACTTTCCTTGTTTTCCACGAAGTGCTATTCCACATTAATTGTGTCCTCTCCCTACCCTCCAACCCACCTCATTTCACTCCACCCCCTTGTAGCTCCCATCCTACGCCCCAACCCTTACCTCCACCCTCACCTTTTGTATATGTCTAGATTATATACAAATGCTTTTAGAATAATACTTTTTTGTTTTCCAAGAATATAAGTGGGTTTATTACTTATTCTCGTGTTCGGTACATACACACCTAAGCTTATGTTACTTGTCCCAGGTTACCAAAAGAGGCTTTTCTATAGGGGCAGCAAAAGCAACCAATGTATCTTTAATAATTGGTCCTGGTGCAGGATACAACTTGGTGAGATTCCTCATGCAACTATTGTTTAACTTGTTTGGCTCATCATCAGAGGTGTATCCAAGGAGGGGTCACCGGGTTCACGTGAACCCATGCTCCCCTCCCGAGATCATATATAGTAGTGTTATATTTTTGAAAAATATTGAAATATAGATGTGTGAACCCATATTCAGAGTATCATATAATGCGATGAGGACTAGGTGCACCTCTCTACGTGAGGTTAGAAATTTGAATTTTATATTCATCTTGTTTTATTTTTCTTTGTAAAATTAGATAACACCTCTCTAAATGGTTATTGGTAACACTTTTGACATTTTAATTAGTTTTGGACCTATAATATTAATTTTAACGGTTTTCAGTAATAAGAACCTAAATGTCCAACCGATCAAATTTATATTTTAGATCAACCTTTTTGTAATAATGCACCCATCATCCCGAAATCCTGGATACGCCTCTGCTCATCATCATCTATATCTTGAATAAATCTTGATGCTTATTTGGCAATATAATGCTTGTAACCATGCTGTTTAACTTTCTGGAGTTTTTGTTATTGTAATACAACATTTAGTTGGTAAACTACTTAAAATGAGATTTTCCATATACTTGGAACCCATATGATAAGCTGGCCTATTGTTTCGTCATTTTCAGAAGTCAAACCCCTTACCTGATGAAGAGAAGTTGACATCAACTCGACATAATGGTGAACCAAAGAGGCAGAACATATTTCAAGAGAGATTACGAGCAGAACACGAGTCGTTTAGGGCTGTTTTCGAGTCCTTCAGAACTGGTTCTGACAAGAGGCGGCAGCGGATATTTGGGCTTAATACTGAAGATGAATAGTACATGTAGATGGGGGTTTAAAATCACGTATTAGCAATTTTGTATGTTTTGCTAATCCTTGCCATTGAGAAAGAGTGGGGGAGGGTTTAGCTATTGTATTGTAACATCGTGTAAATTGTGTAGCAAAATAGGTAGTTTGTTGCCTGGAATGTAATTACTATGCCAGGGGTCCATTGAGTCTTTAATACTCTGTACTTGAATGGAAGGAATATGCCATGGGTTCATTGAGTCTTTATTACTAGGTATGGTTGCCTTGAATGGGCTGATTTGAGTCTGTATTACTGTAGTTGGTGTCCTTAATTGGAAGGACTATGTCATGGGTTCATTGAGTCTTTATTACTAGGTATGGTTGCCTTGAATGGGGTGATTTGACTCTGTATTACTATCTGTAGTTGGTGTCCTTAATTGGAAGGACTATGTCATGGGTTCATTGAGTCTTTATTACTAGGTATGGTTGCCTTTAATGGGGTGATTTGACTCTGTATTACTATCTGTAGTTGGTGTCCTTAATTGGAAGGATTATGTCATGGGTTCATTGAGTCATTATTACTGTCAGTAGTTGGTTTCCTTGAATGCGCTGATGGAGTCTGTATTACTGTCGGTAGTTGGTGGCCTTAATTGGAAGGACTATGTCGATCCATTTAAGTTCCAACCTATTTTAAGAGAATCCTGAATTGAGCCAAATTTAATTTTCAAATTGAATAAAAATAGTTACAGTAAAATGATGGAAACTATTTTAGAAATTTAGGAATAGACCCATTTCAAGATTAAATATTAAATTATTCATGAGATTCTTTCTTGAAAGAATTCAATATTTAAAGAGGAGTAAGTTTAATTTTTGGTGAATTATAAACCTGCTAATTAGGGTAAAAAAGAATTTTTTTTTTGAAGAAGACACTAATAAAAAAGAAAGAGTATGTACGTGCTCAGATGTTTTAGCAAAAAAGAGATGGGGTATTTGGAGAAGACAATGGGGTGGGGGAGCGGGTATGTGCAGATTTTTCTGCAAATGAGTAGGGGTATTTGGAGAAGGGAGGGGGAGGGGGGGTGTTTCTGCAAATGGGTATGGGTCTTTGGAGAAGCAATTGTGGGGTGGGGGGAGGGGGGAGGTGTTTCTGCAAATGGGTATGGGTTTTTAGAGAAGACAATTGTGGGGTGGGGGGCGGGGGGTCACGTGGGGATTTTATTGATTTAATTTGTTTTAAAAAAGTTATTTGGGCAAAAATCTACGTGTCATTGAGTCATTCGTTACTTTATATTTTTACTCAAAATTCATTATCTACAAATTGTTTTTGACAAATGTCGACATTTAATTCGCCACTTTACACGTCATTTGCGAGTGTAACACACACTTCATATATTTTTGTTGATTGGCAAAAGAGTATCAAAATGACACAGTGAGACCCTACATGAGGTGTCTAAAATGAACATCGTCCACTTGAGGTTCCTAAGTGAAACTTCATGCCAACTTTAAGGGGTCACCGATGGGTTAGGCCTATTTTTAATAACACCAAACCATGCATAAGCAATAATACGAGCATAACTAATTCAATCATTACTAATTCTATTTAGCATTATTCTTATATACCTTACTAGCGACCTCTTAGAGTATTTTTGTGTATATTAGAGTTTAATAGAATTTATATCTATCTATGTTACCCTAAAAACATAAATTTTCTAATTTAAATATTAAATTACTATAATACCCCTAACTATAAACATCTCCTAACTTAAATGTCAAATTACTATAATTAGGGGTGTACAAAATCGAACCAAACCGCAAATCGAGTCAAACTGAGAAAAAAAACCCGACCAGTGGTTGGTTTGGTGTTGAAAAAAAAAACCCGACTATATTTGGGTTGGTTTGGTTTTAACTAAAAAAAAACCAACCCGAGACCAAATCAACCCGACATTATATATATAATTTTAAAATTTTATTTTATACATAAAAATATTTACTTTGATATAATTTTTAAATATTTCTTATACTTTTTTTTTATAGTTTTTATCTTTTAATATATTATTTCAAGTTTGAAACTTAGAATTCTGAATAGTTCCATAAAGATTATAGTCCATAGATGTTGGTAATTATAATAAAACTTAAATCAAAATCAAATTAATACTAATGCAAAAAGTAAATCAATTTAACACTTAGAATGACAATAATATTGAATATTTGTTCTTTGATTTTACATTGGTTTAGACAATTAAAGTACATAATCTAATTTTAATTTCCTTTAATATTTAGTCATGTAACTAATACTTATTAAACTTATTTTAGCATGATTTAGTACTTTTAAATTATGATCATTTTCATTATGACTTGTTAATTTGCAATATTTGTTTTATGCGATTTCATTATTATTTTTATTTTTAGATATTTTAGTGTCATTAATCATATCATTGTTTGTGTTGTATTCTTAAGAAACACCTTAGATATTTGTATTTTGGTAGGACTGGAGAAATATTTGAAGTACAAGTAAATTATATGTTTGTATGAATACTTTAGCGGAAAAACCTGAAAATCCGAAAAAACTCGAGGTTGAAAAACTCGAGTTTTCTTGATTTGGTTTGGTTTATAGATTTAAAAATCCGACACAAATGATTTGATTTGATATTTGAAAAACCCGAACCAACCCGACCATGTACACCCCTAACTATAATACTTCAAAGTTCAAACTAAAAACACTTAATTCAATACATCTTCTATATTCTAATTTATTTATTTATATTATATTATATTAAAAGGATGCACCTTTTCACATAATGGTTGTGTGACTTTTTGATAAGTTGTGATATTTTTAAAGGGTTATAACTTTTCTGATAAGACACAATAAACACTTGTTCATACTATCATTTGCTGAATATAAATAGAAGGGTTTTCTCTCATTTTTAAACATACTACCTTAAAAAGTATGAGTATCTAACTTGATTGTTAACTTACAATAATACTCCCAACTAAAAACACCTCATAACCTGAATGTTAAATTACCACAATACCATCAACTAAAAACAACCATTATCTTGAATGTTAAATTACTATAATACCCCAACTGAAAGCACCAAATTTAGTAAATCTTTTATATTCCCTAACTTAATTATGTTAATTTAATATAATACCCCCAACTAAAAACATCAAATTTAGTATATCCTTTATATTTTATATTTAAAACTATTTATTTATATTGTATTAAAAGCAAACACTTTTTCACATTGAAAGATTGTGACTTTTTCGAAGAGTAGTGACTTTTTCGAAGGGTTGTGTGACTTTTTTGAAGAGGGTTGTGTGACTTTTTCGATGAGTTGTGATTTTTCTAAAAGCTTGAAACTTTTCAAATAAGGTACAATAAACATTGTTCATACCATCCTTATTGGCTATAAATAAAAGGATTTCCTCTCATTTTTAAACATATTGTTAGTGAAAAATTACAAAATAACAGAATTACAAGATTACAATTGAAAATAAAAATGAAGAAATAAATCTATTCAGGTTGAGACGCGGATATCTCGCTCTCTTTAAGGAGACTCAATCCCACTGCAACAAATGTTTTTCACTGGTCCAGCAGTAGTCCTACTTGACTTGTCCCCTCCAGGATACAACAGTCTATTCACAAAAGATAACTCAACAACTCTGGACAAGAGATGAGTCCAAAGCTCCACCAAAAAAACACATCCCTTCAACTAATAAGATCTCTCTTTTTTTAACAAACTTTATGCACTCTATATTTTCTTATATGTAAAACAAATGAAGACCACTACTATTTATAGCAAAAGAAGTCTTCCTAGAAATAAATAGGAAGATAATGGGGGTACTAAATAGTGAAGATAATAGCCTTAAGAGTTACATATGTTACAAGGTATAATGGGGGAATAAAGAATGAAAATAAAGGGACACTTAAGCCACCAACGGCTTGGGAGTTGCTGCATGCACCAAGAAAATTGTAACATATACACTAACTCCATTTGGAGTAATGCTGAATACAGTGAATAGTAAGTAATGCATCAATAATTATTTTCAACGGCAACAACCAACTGCCAATTCATCCATCATTATGTAACATATATGAGAAGTGCACCAACGGCCATAAACCAACATCTATGTGGCCATGCAAAAAAATATGAATTCTTAAATTATTAAAATGCCACACTAACACATACTATCTCAAAGTAAGACTTAAATTTTTTAAAAAGAAAAAGACTTTAAAATTTGTTTCTTTCAAATTCAAAGTTAGTGCACATTTTAAAATGGTTCCTTTATGGTTTAATTGTTTTATGGAAAAAATCCTATTAATTGCTTAAGTAATTATGCACTCTGTAATTATAAACGGGAAAATAGTCAAATATTTTTCATCATACATGTACAAAAACAATTTACAGGATTATGCCAGTAGCTCCAAATGAAATTCTTTTGAAAATGGGTATGGAAAATAAGTTAAATTATTTTGGGTTAAGATAGATAGATAGATAGGTTGGGCATGAGTTTCAATTGGGAATTATAGGTTATTTAAAAAACAAAAATTGGATTAATTTGAACTTATTTGGGGGTTTCCGTTATGTACGACAAATTTCGTAATGACGAGGACATAAATAACCGCATAATATAGTGAAGGATAAACGTGACTATTAAATAAAAGTTTGGGGATATTTTGACCCTTTTCCCATTAAAAAAATTTGGATGCTACATGATTTTGAATGCTTGTGTTTGTTCATGATTAAATTTGATTGTGCGTCAAATTTTTCTTTTGGGGGCCTCAGTGATGGACTCTCACAAATTATTTTTTTAATTGTTCTTTGTATTGTGAAGGAACTTTTTGACGCGACTATTAATTAGTCTTAGATATATTACATATACATAATTTGATATTTATATGCAACACACCTATTGAGATACTAGTAAATAGAAAGGAGAGATAGAGATGAGTTGTCACAAGTGAACGAGTGAGCTACCACTATTCCCATTTGTTTGTGATCTTGGGATTCAACTTTATAGCGTATGATTGTGTAT